GTGTGTGAGTGCGTGCATGTGTATATAAGTGTGTGAGTGCGTGCATGTGTATATAAGTGTGTGTGTGAGTGCATGCATGTGTATATAAGTGTGTGTGTGAGTGCGTGCATGTGTATATAAGTGTGTGTGTGAGTGCGTGCATGTGTATATAAGTGTGTGTGTGAGTGCGTGCATGTGTATATAAGTGTGTGTGTGAGTGCGTGCATGTGTATATAAGTGTGTGTGTGAGTGCGTGCATGTGTATATAAGTGTGTGTGTGAGTGCGTGCATGTGTATATAAGTGTGTGTGAGTGCGTGCATGTGTATATAAGTGTGTGTGAGTGCGTGCATGTGTATATAAGTGTGTGTGAGTGCGTGCATGTGTATATAAGTGTGTGTGAGTGCGTGCATGTGTATTGTGAGCGAGCGAGCGAGCTCATGGTCAGACCTTGAAGCGGCAGAAGGGGTTCTCCTGGCTGAACTCCACCGGCGGTGTGCTGCTGCTATAGTAACCCTTCCCTACTCCCCAGAAGGCCTGCAGCTGGTTCCATCGGGCCAGAATGGAGTCGCGCTCGTCGCTGAGGACCGACGGAGCAGAGAGAGCGCTGGCTGTGTTAAAGAGCTGACTGGACTGAGACGCCTGCTGGTTAAACAGGCCTCCTGCAAACACACACACACACACTCAGTATACACACACACCCGGGCTCATTCGGAGCGTCTGTTTCTGAACATGCTGCATCTTCTCTCTTAGTTCGATTCGTTCAGTCCTTTATAAATACATAAACACTGCAATCACACTTCAACTGCACCAGAACAGCTGGTCTGAGATCGTCTGAATCAGGTGGTTTTTGGCCCGACTGAAAATTAATTTATTCCCATTATTCTCATAATTCATAATGGGAAATGTGTTACACAAAACCGAACCAAGAGGAAGAAATCCGTGTGTGTTTCAAGAGAGAGCAGGCGCTCTCAGACGCGGTCGGACTCACCCGGCTGGTTCTGAGCGGTCTGGATCCCACCGAATCCTCCGAAGCCCAGTCCAGCACCACCCAGACCTCCACTCGAGACCAGACCAGACGAGAAACCAAAGCCCTTACTCTGAGTGCTTCCGAAGAGACTCGCACCTGCAGACAGCACTTCCTGTCAGACACACACTAAAATACACACACACACACTAATATACACACTCTCGCACACGCACACACACACACACACACACACTAATATACACTCTCGCACACACGCACAGTCGCGCACACACTAATATACACACTCTCGCACACACACACACTAATATACACACACGCACAGTCGCGCACACACACACACTAATATGCACTCACACACTAATACGCACTCACACACTAATACACACACACACACACACACACTAATATACACTCTCGCACACACGCACAGTCGCGCGCACACACACACACACTAATATACACACACGCACTCACACTAATACACACACACACATATACACACGCACACACACACACACTAATACACACACACACACA